GACAGCCGGCTCAGAGCGGGCGAGAGGGGCGGGGCCTGCGCGGGCCCAGGAAGTGACCTCAGAGCCTGGGCTCCTTGGCTGACTGACAGCCGGGTGATTGACAGCCGGCGGGGGGCGGGGCCTGCGCGGGCCCAGGAAGTGACCTCAGAGCCTGGGCTCCTTGGCTGACTGACAGCCGGGTGATGGACAGCCGGGTGATTGACAGCCGGGTGATTGACAGCCAGCTCAGAGCGGGCCCAGGACGTGGCCTCAGAGCCTGGGCTCCTTGGCTGACTGACAGCCGGGTGATGGACAGCCGGGTGATTAAGGAGGAGGGAGGGCCCGGTCTCCCGGGCACACCTAACGACACTCAGGACCCGGATGCTGTCCCCGAGCTTTGGTGCTCAAGGCTGGTGCTCTACTACTTGAACCACTTCGGTGTGTTGGTGTTGGCGGTGGTGAGTCCTTAGGGATAAGAGTCTCCTGGACTTTCCTGCCCGGGCTGGCTTTGAACCGTGATCCTCAGATCTCAGCCTCCTGAGTAGCAAAGATGACAGGCGCGAGCCACTGGTGCCCAACTTTACGGTGACGTAGTTCTGTCTACTGGGTTAGCTTTGGAAGGACTTGCCTCTTCCCTTCTTGGCCCAATCTTCTTATGTATCTAAAGATGGACTATGCAGGGTTGACTCACTTCCTACAGATGTCAGACAAAACCCCAGGGCGTGCTTGACCCGCAGGCAGGGCTGTCAGACCTAAGCCTGCCTGTCTACCTTCCATTGTGGGCCTAACTAGAAAGTTTCCATCTCCCCCAGCCTTCATGGCCTTTTCCATAACCTCTGTCTCCTTGTTCAGACCCAATAAAAGCCATGGGAAGATTGCTGCCCCTCGCGGTCCTCCAGTAAACTGTCCTCTCCTGTGGAAGATCCAGTCCTGCCTGGTTCCTTTTCCTCTGTCCTCCATTTTCCTAACCACTCCGGTGTGAGGTTTCCTTAACAGGCTCTGGGTTAAAGTACAAATGAGCTAGAGGGCAGAAGGTGAAATTACCTGACAATGGGATTCAACGTGTCCTTGTCCTCCTCACCTCAGTGACTCAGGTGAATGCCAGGGAAGTATTTAATAATGGACAAACTGTGGAGGAGCCATGAGGTCTTCAGTAGCACTTGTGTGTATGTATATGCAGGCATGCATACATACTGGGGCTTGAACTCAGACCCTGGATGCTGTCCTAGGGTTTTGTTGTTGTTGTTTTTTTGTTCTCAAGGCTAGAGCTTTAGTACTTGAGCCACAGCTCCGTTTCTGGCTTTTGGTGGTTAGTTGTAGACAAGTGTCTCAAGAATTTTCATATCCTGGCTGGCTTCCAACCCTGACCCTTAGATTGCAGCCTCCTGAGAGGCTAGGATTACAGATGTGAGCCACCGGTGCCAAGTGTTTAAAGAGCACTTTTAACCACTTAATCCTTCTGAAAACATCATACGCAAGTGCCCAGATGGGGCCTCTCTTTACACTTAGATGCAATGTCCACTTTCATCGTGGGCGCTACACGTGAATTCCCAGGGCATGTCTCTCGGGAATGTTGAAGAATGGGAGGAATTTCAGAACCTGTATCCTAAGGAACCCAACACTTTTCAAGTATCACAGAGTTGGTTGCACCAGAAATTACCAGCGCAAGCTGGACATGGTAGCTCATGTCTAGAACTCCAGTGCTAGGGACTAGCCTGGTCTACATAGCAAGATGCTATCTCGAGCAAACAAAAAACCAAAACAAAACGGCAACAAAACAGTATATGAGCCAGAGCAGAAGTAGATCTTGAGCTTTCCTATCTAGAAGCCATAGAATATGTGTGGTCAACTATGGAAGCTTTTGAGCAGCAAAGGAAGCAACAGTCACTATGTGCTGTTGGCTTTAGCGGTAAAATCATAAAGCTCTCAGAGGAAGGGACCTTTAGTATCTTTTATTCTATAGTTGAAGCAACTTAAATCCTGCTAATTGAGGTACAAGGTTTTCCTATTTCTCATAAATGTGATATAATTATAGGACATGAGAGAGCATTCTTTAGTGTTTGGTGTCTTAAGTTCCTCAGCATGGCTTTTCAGGTTATTCAACAGAAAAACAATACGGCACGTCTTTCTCTCTTTATATTCAGTGCAGAACATTATTTCTTTGCAAGCATAATTAATTGGCCAGTGGTAATTTAGCTCATAAATTAGCCTTTCCCATGGATCTTTAATATTTCTTCTTCTACTTTTCTCTAAGGAAATGAAATTAAATGGTGGGAAGGGAGCATATTTATAATTATAAAAGGTATCAATCAATAAAAATCTTATTGTATTTGACAACAATTTTTTTCAGGTTCCTGACAGCTACTTAGAGAGATTTCAGAGTCTTGACTTAAGTACATGTAGTAATTAGGAGGTATTTATTACTAGGTTAATGAGAAGCTATGCCTCTTAATGAGTCAAAATTGTTCAGGGGAGAAAATTGCAAGAGAGGAGAGAGCTCAGGGAAGGATTTATCTCTAAAAGCTGTTCTCTCTTGAAGGTCATGTTACTGTTCCTGTGTGATTTGTTTGCGTTCTTATTAAAAATATTTGTTGCACATACATTGTAGCAGTTGTGCTAAGTGAAAAATGGTGCATTTATCAAGAACCATTTCTGCTCCTTTGACTAAATTAAAGCTGGATTATTTTTTATTATTGACCCTGACATTACTAATCATTCTCCTTGAAGTCCAGCCCCCCTGGATCACAGTACTCTTTCTACCTCTTGGACTGATATTGATTTCTTCTTAGCACCATTAGGTTCTCTTCCATCTATTATTGCTGTGTTTTTAGGTGTTCTGTGTGGTTTAGGACCAACTGTATCCTGATGACTAGAAACCATTTCCCTAATTTGTGACAGGGAATCTTTTTATTATTATTATTATGGCATGTAACAATTATTTTTATTTATTTATTGGCTTTTGTGTCAGCACATAACAATTGTTGACCAAAGCATGGTATATCTAAGAGCGAAACTCCATGCACTAAACCTTTTGACAATTAACAGACAGTTCAACAGAATGAGTATCAGGAAGTTGAAATGACATTGTAAGGTTGCTAGGTAGTGGGAGGGAGTGGATGAATGAAAAAGGGAATGGGGGACACGTATAGCAAGAATACTCAATGTACGCTGCGTGTCGGTGGCTCACGGGTCCTGGCTATTCTTAAAAGCTACAGTGCCTAATCCTCCTTTAGAGGTTGAATCAATCAGGAGGGTGGGGGCTGGGTCTCAAAACCCACATTCTTAACAGGACCCTTAAGGAATAACCTGGTCAGGGTTAAATACAGGGTAGCAGCTCTCTTCCACCTGTGGTATGTAGGTGAAGAGTATACTCCAACCTCCCATAACATGGCACCTGACTGGCTCAAAGACAGGGCCAGCCAGCCCCGCCACTGCTGGCTGCTCATACTTCCCCTGACCAGGCCAGCTAACACAATCATTGGCACTGTCACACTGCATTCTGACCTTGCTCATACTGCCTGGGCCTGGAATAATCCTCTTCCATGCAAGCCTTAGCTGTCTTCTCTGTCCTAATCATAGGAAACATTTGCAAAGTGCAAGCTGTCTCAAGGGCTCTTCTGGATGATGTCAGCTGTGTCCAAAAGCATTGCTGGAGGGAAGGAGCATCTCGGTTTGGACCAGCTAGCTCAGGAACCAAGGGGCTGGGCTATGGTTAAGACAGCCTCCCTCCCTCCCCTCCACCCTGGCCCATCCCGCTTCCTTATGAGCAAACAGCCATTTGCGTGGAAGCAGCCATCTGTACAGGAGAAAGGCACCAAAGAGCAAGGTTTTACAGATTTTATTTTTAAAAAACAAACAAAAGCTTAAAAAAGTCCTTCATTTCCAACCCTGCCTGGGGGTGTGGGTGAGGAATAGAATGAGCTGAGAAAGGTGCCCCCCCCTCCTGGGGAGAGTTGGACTTTCCCCAGGAATGGTAAGGACAGGGCAAGTCAGAGGCAGGCCCTTGCCCTCTGCCCTGCCTCTCAGTTAGCTGTACCTGCTGTAGGAAGTTTGTTACAAGCAAAGAAGTGTGGGAGCAGGGGTCAAGGGTGCCTCCCCACCCAGTGCCTCCAAGCTGTTCCCTCCCTTCAGAGCTCTGGCCCTATCTTGGGACTGCCAGGGTGGATAGCCAGATTACTGCGGTGTTCACCACAGCTTCTCAGTGCTGTTGGAGACAGCAGGGCACTTGGGAAGTGTCACCATGTGAGGAGGGCTTTCTGAGACCTCCTGGCCATCCAATCTCCACCTTTCTGATCTTGCCCTTTTCGAGGCTGCCCTTCGTTTCTATTCCCCATCCTCAGGCTGAGAGGAGTCCAGGACAAAGCACTAAGTGGCTGTTTGCTACAAAACACCTGGAGGTGCCAGAGGGCAGCTCATGTCTGTCAGTCCAGGTCCCATACAGTCACACAGTCATACATACACACAGCGTTAAGGCGTCTGTGCCGGCAGGCATGGCCAAACTGGGTCCAGCTTCTCTCTCTCCACCTGCAGAGGGGCAGCGGGTGGGGGAGCCCCCTGCTGCAGAGACAGGCTGAAGTGGGAGAAGCTGGCAACGGAAGGCTAACCAGGCCTGGAGAAAGCAGGAGGAAGGAAGGCAAGGGCTGTGAGGCCTTTCCAGGCCTGCTGGCTGCCCTTGGAAGTAACCCAACACAGGTTGGGAAGCCCTGACCATAACCCCCTGGAAAACGGGGGACGGAGGGAGGGGAAGAGAGCTGGGCTAGAGTATTGGGACTTTGGAGGAAGCCAGTGCTATCAATATTTACAAGCATAAAGCCCCATCTTCTGTGCCACCTACCTCTCTACCCCTCCCACAGAAAAGAAAGGCCCCTGAGAGCCATTGAGGAGGTACCCAGACCACCTCACCAGCTATGCCCCTAGGGAGAGCCCCCTCCCTCTGGCTGGCCCCACCTCCGGGCCCCTCAGGAATGTCTGTCTGGCTCTGCTTAGTGGGGAGGAGGAGTTCTAGGCCAGAACCCTGCTGCCCCATCAGCCCTAGGAGTCCTTAAGCATGCTGATGCGGGCATAGATCTTCAGAGCAGGCCCCAGCTTTATGTTCATGGCGCTCATCAGGTGGTCCTCCTTGAGCAGAAGCAGAGCTTGCCCATCAATCTCCTGGGCACGGAATTCCTCAGCAATTTCCTGACAGCCTGAGGAGGAAGGAACACCAAAGACAGCACTAGTGAGAGCCAAGGATTCACTCACAGCAGTCTCTCCACTTGGGGAATATTTCTGGTCTAACACTCAGAATTGTATCTTGAGGACAGTATTGCTCTCTTATCTTGAAGCTTGAGAGGCTAAGTGACTGTGGAGGGAGCCAGGATCCCTACCTCCTTATGCATGCCTTTGTCCAGACCTCCGCACAGACAAAGCTCACCTGTTAGAAGCTCCCCAAGTGACCACAGGTGATTTCTATGCTCAATCAGGGAAGGCAGGAAAACTTGCCTTTTTTTTCTTCCTGTGCCTGTCTTGGGGCTTGAATTCAGGGCCTGGATGCTGTCCTTGGGCTTTTTTTTAACTCTAAGCTAGCACTACCTTGATCCACAGCTCCACTCCAGCTTTTTGATGATTAACTGGAGATAAAGGTCTCATGTATGTTCCTGCTCTGGGATTGGCTTTGAACCAACATCCTCAGATCTTAGCCTCCTGAGTAGCTAGGATTCCAGGTGTAAGCTACTGGCATCCTGCTTAGGCAGCTTATTTCGAAGGAAGCAAACAACTAGGTCAGAAAGCTCAAGCAGCTCTTAGGAGAGGTCCTGGTGGAGGGCAGCTGTGGCCTTTTACCAGAAACCAGCCCCAATTGCCATGTGAGTGCTTGGAAGCAGCTCTAAGCCTTCAGAAGACTGCAGTCCTGGTTGACACCCTGCGAGACCTAGGAGCCCCAGCCAGAGCTGCATAGCTGAGCCTTCTGCATACTTCTAGCCTGCAGCACTGCTAGGTGAATATTTTTCAAGCCACTATGTATATATTTTTTTTGGGGGGGGGAGTGGGCGGGGATCGGTCATCGGTCATGGGGCCTGAACTCTGGGCCTGGCGCTGTCCCTGAGCTCTTCAGATCAAGGCTCGTGTTCTACCACTTGAGCCACAGCACCACTTCCGGCTTTTTCTGCTTATGTGGTGCTGAGGAATCGAACCCAGGGCCTCATGCAAACAAAGCAAGCACTATACCACTGAGCTACCTTCCCAGCCCCTCAAGCCACTATGTTTTGGAGTAATTTATATCACAGTGACAGATGACCAACACAGATTTTGGTACTTTGGAGAAGATTAAAACCTCTAACTATATGGCTGTGGCCTTGGAACTGGCAGCAGCTGGAGTGCCTGAATATCTAAGGTGTCTTGAGACCCTGAGAAGACATGTGATGGCCATGGAGTATACTACTGGGAGATTAAGGGGAGAGAGGAAACTACTAATGGAGGTCTGAAGAAACAGAAATTCAATTTGATATTGTTATGACATAGAAAATTTGACAACATTGTTGGTGATTAACATGCACCTAATGAACAGAAGAGCACTAGCTAAAGGATTTTTTTTCAGGCATAGTGAAGAAGGAGTTGCTGTTCATAGTAAAAAAAGGGAGGAGGAAAATAAGACAAAGCTGTTTAGCACAGGGAGCCAGTATTTGCTGGTTCTGGAGCTCCTGGTCTCTCCAGATGGCAAACACTGCTGAAATTATGAAACAGTCAAGAAAACTCAGTATACATGTAAAATGAAGGGGTGGATCTTAGGTGTTTTATTAAGACTTCACAACAGCTAAGCATAATGTAATCCCAGTTACCTGGGAGGATCATGGTTGGAGGCCAGCTCAGGCAAAAAGTGAGACCCTCATCTTAACCGACAATCTGGGTGTGGTAGGGGCATGCCTGGGCTCTCAACTATAAGGGAGGCATAAGTAGGACAGTTGTAGTATAAGGCTGATCGTGGGGAGAATCTTTAAAAAACCAAGACGTACTGGGGGCCATGGCTCAAGTGGTAGTGTACCTGCCTAGCAAGTGTGAGGCCCTGGGGAAAAAAAAGAGAGAAGATGGTTGGTCCAAGGGCTCCGAGGAGTCTTCGGGTAAGCCTCATATACTATTCAGCTCAAAAACAGACCTTGAGGCATAACTGCCCCTTCCAAAGTCCTTATCTCTCTAAAGTAACCATACTATGACAAATCTGGATGATGTAGACAACACATACACTTTGTTAAGTTTCAACGCAGGGATTTAAACCCAGTTCTATGTGGCTTGAAGTCTGCTCCCAACCTCTATAGCATCCTCCACTCTTGAGTAGCAGACTTGTGGCTGCCATCAATGCCTGACTTGGGCAGTGGATGGGTGAGAGTAGCAGAAAGAAGAGAGGCTTTTAAGTCCTCTTTGGGAACATCTTGGAGTGCTGTAAGATTTGCCCTTCCAGGTGTGATGTAGTTGACCTCTGTCCTAAGGGCTACATAGCTGCACTGGTATTCTGTGACTTCTGCCCCTGCTCCAGCTGCTCCCATGGGCAGTTCTTTGGTCAGTATGAATTAAAATTTTTTTTAGTTTTTATGTCTTATGCTCCCACCTGACACTCCTCTTGCCCCAGGAGAGGGTCTGCATTTTGCACAAGCCATTTACCCTGTTGTAAGTAGCTATTTTACATTATAGCTATGGAATATTACTCAGTTTTTTTCTGGGCTAGAATATAAGCTCTCAGGGGCAGAAGCCTTGTGTATTTAATTTCTGCCTCCTAGTCCCCCCACTCTGTGCTGACCCAGGCAGGCCTTTACCTGGCAGGGAACGGATGAATTCATAGACATCTTCCACGTTCCACTTAGTAGGCTCACTCGGGAGGAAGTGGTGCCCCATGCCTACCAGGTCCCGCATGTGCATGTCAGGGAGCTCCAGATCCCGCTGCCCTTGTCGGCGGCGTGAGGTGGACGAGCTGGCTGAGATGGGTGACAAGGGTTCCTCATAGCTTGAGTTATCTGAGCAACGGCTGGAGTCTTCCTGGCTGTGTGTCAGCTGCAAGGCAGTAGTAACTGAAAGGGGTACAGTGCCTGTTGACTGGGAGCAGAAAGAAACAGCTTTCCTCAGAAGGGGAACAAACCACCACTGGCAGCTCTGAGGGGCAAAGGCAGGTGAAACAGTCTTCCTTTTCTTCTGAGTCCACCATGGATTCCTGCATCAAACAGTACCTTTCTGCTGTTTCATCGCTGAACCTGATCATCCCCGGTACTGCCCCATGCTTTGCACTGTCCTGGAGTAATATGAATGTCTACCTTTTCTTTTAAATGTGACCTTTTAAATCTGGGCTCTCTGGGTCTATGAACTTCTTGAAACAGCATGAACACCTAGAGCATCTGGAACTTTTTATGCATGTTCACTTTGTACCAAGGCTTTTCATTAGATGCTTTAAGACAAAAACCACCATCGTAAGCAAAATTGAGCATAAGGTTAAATAAGGTCACACAGGACTACGAGTTCCTTTAAGACTATGTCCTTGGAGCCGGGCGCTGGTGGCTCACGCCTGTAATCCTAGCTACTCAGGAGGCTGAGATCTGAGGATCGCGGTTCAAAGCCAGCCCTGGCAGGAGAGACCGTGAGACTCCTATCTCCAATACACCACCAGAAAACCGGAAGTGGCGCTGTAGCTCAAGTGGTAGAGCGCTCGCCTTGAGCTGAAGAGCTGAGGGACAGCGCCCAGGCCCAGAGTTCAAGCCCCACGACCGACAAAAAAAAAAAAAAAAAAAAAAGACTATGTCCTTGGAGCTTTAGCCACACTAGAGTTCCCAGCATGGAACTGGGACTGAAAACTACTGAATGGACAAATGCCCAGATTGCTGGTGGGAAGTTCCAAAAATTCAGTGCTCCAGTGTCCATGGGGCAAAATGTGGAAGCTGTCATCTCACCCAGCCCTCCATGTGTGATGGGGTGACCTAAACAGCTTGTTTTCAGAGGGCCTGCAGGGGAGGTCCAATCTCCTGGGCCCAGAAGTCAAGGGTAGAGCTCAACTGCATGATGGGGATGGTTCTGGGAAAGGTACTTTGTAAGGGATCTACTAAGAGGCACAGGAAGGCTTCACCTATGAGACCCAATGTGGGATGGAAGACAGTGTGAAGCGTGCAGTAATGAGCTGTGGGAAGGGAACAGGGTGTCAGGGTCAGGTCAGAAAGGAGGATGGTAGGCATCTGTGGGAAGTGGACCTCTCACCTGCTTCTTGGTATCCTTGGTAAGTGGTGGCAGACTGGCCTTGCTAGCCCGACGGCGGTTATGGGTTGTGGCTCCTGACTTCTGCAGCTTGCTCCGGTCTGAGTGGAAAAGTCCCACTCGTTTGGTGCATCCCACATTGTACCTGTCAGAACAAGGAAGCAGGAAGTCAAAGCTACCTCAGGGCTCCTGGGTGCTAGTCAGAATAAGAACAGCCAAGCTGTTAGGCAAAATTGAGACTATTCATTGGTTTGAATCCTGACTCCATCATGTACTGCTAGTTGGAGACTCTGGGCCACCATGTAAGGACGGTGTCACAGTGACACAAGGAACTGTCACTGATGTATTACACAACCACTTGTAGCATGTTAGACACACTCTACTATAACTACCTGTGCCAGGAAATGTCTGTCCACCGTCCAGCAGGACAAGCCAGGTGAAGCTTGACTAAAGGGCCCTGACTACCTCTAGCATAGCCTCAGGGGCTGAGGGCTGAGGACAAGAACTCCAGCCAGCAGGCAGGGTACCACTGCCTGAGACGCAGACATTACCTTTGGGGTTTTGAACTTTAAGCTCTGCCACTTCTACTTTGACACAGAGACTACATAGGGCTTTAGGTTCAGAAAAGTCTAAATTCCAAAATCTGTAACTCACTAGCTGTATGACATTCAGAATAACTGTGTCTTAATTTTCCAACCTCTACAAAGCAGACAACAGTAAAAATACAATTGAGACAGCTGCCCTACAGTTATTTTGTAGATGAGGCCATAGATACCAACTGACTAGCGTAATACCAGACATGCAGCAGGTTCTCAATAAACCATAGTGGTTTTTATTATGCCCATAAGTCCCTAAAGATAGGTTATCACAGGGACACTGTACCTAGTGTCAGCGTTCTGGGCAAAAGTCTCTGATGCAGTGCTTTCCCTAAGGAGGTAGCAGGTGAAGAACAGGTACCACTAGGACCCAGGAGGCCACCCAGCTAGAGGGCTGCTTCCTTCCTCCAGGCTGCCCCTCTCTGATATCACCACTCCCTCCAGGTATATGGTTTCTTAGGCTTGGTAGGTTAGGGATGCAACGCTACACCAGGCGGGTCAAGGAAACAGGCACCTGGATGAGCTGCATTTATGGCCTCCAAGGTGGACAGTTATTGGGGGGAGGACAGGTTTTAGCAAGATTCCAAGGTGAAATGCTGAGGAGAAATGAAGGGCTGCACATGGCAGCAGGGCTGAGGCCACTCACCTCTTTGCACAAGCCATGGAACAGAAGCGCTTGGAGCGCTTGAACTTATAGGCAAAGTCCACCCGGCCACAGAGCTCACACTTGAGTTTGAGGGGAGTACCCTCCTCTTTGGATTCTGAAAAGTAGTAGAAATGTTAAGTGTGGAGGGGGAGGAATTCCTGAAGGACTGTGACAGCTCCAACACAGGCCTCTGTACTCCGCTTGACTCTCCCTCATGTTCCCATGGGTGTGACACACAGTAGGTCTAGTCTGTCTGACACATACTAAAGTGCTTTCACCACTTGTTTTAGAAGGGCTGTGATTCCTGGTTGGAAAGTTCGCAAGGACACATGGTAAACTAGACAGCTTTTCTTCCGAGTGCTGTGAGCCTAAGGCACCATACAGGTGTGCAGAGTAAGCACCCTCCTTCATGAGCATGAGTGAAGCAGCAGCTCACGTGTGCCAAGTATAGTCCATGCTTGGCCACTGCTACACTTCAGGGCCACCCATTCCAAGTGCAGGCTTCTGAGGAGGGCAAGCCTGCCTGCTGCTGTCCTCACATCTGCTCCTGGGACTTGCCAATGTGTGTCATAGGAATTACAATTCTTAAGATAGTGTTGGGCTGGAGCAGGGCTGGAGAAGCAGGGGATAAACGGTTCCCTATTCTCTAGGGATAAACGGACTTTGGCAATGCTCGGTGGACAGGAATCCTTGCTCAGAGTCCTCCATGGATAGTGAGAAAGGGGGAGTATAGGCCTTCCCTTCCTGTCAACTCAAAAGGCCTGAGATCCCTGGCTCAGATACCTACCTTGCAGGTAGGGCTCCTCCATCTCAGAGTCAGTGGTGGTGGTATGGTCCTGCTGCGGAAGCTTCTCAGCCAAGAACCCCTGGGCATACTTCTTCTTGAGATTCCCCACCAGCAGGGACGAGCGTCCCACCTAGAGGACAGGTGACATGGAAGCCAGGAGGGTTAAGCTAGAACATATCCTTGCTGTGCAGCCTCATCACAATTACAGGTTAAAAAGCAGCCAGGCAGATGCCAGATCCCTCCTGAAGCACCATCCCCTCCCCCGCATGTCATCAGCCACCGTTCCCCCCCTCAAGGCCTGATCCTACTGTCTAGCTCACAGGTAAGAAACAGTAGGCACCAAAGTACAGGAATGGCTTTGGTCCAGAACCAGTGGATGGCCAGGATGGTCAGGAGAGTATCTATTCTTCCAGGACAGAGATGAGGTTTCTTACAGTGTCAGATCAAGTAACAGGCCCAGAGCTCACTAGGTAGGAGCAGGGCTAAGTCTGTACATTTGAGTGTATTTATGAAAGAGACTCAGCACCCCTTTTCTGAATTCTTATTCTCCACTTTACCACTGCCCTACTGAAGTCAGAGGTACATGCAGCCACAGGGAGCACAAGAAAGAGCTATACTCCATGGTTGCCAGATCTCAGGCTGGCTTGTTCACTTCTTTGGTCCTCCCCTTTGGGTAGCCTAGTGGCCAGCTCACAAGGTATATCTATCTCTAGGGAGATGCTAGTGTGGCATTCAGTCACATCTACCTAAGACACCAGTTAGTTCCCATTGTTTCTTCAGGCCAGGGAGGACACCTAGTTTCTTATAGCTAAGGTGTTTCTGTGGATTTCTTTATCACTGGCCTTGGTCAAGAAGAGGACAAGGACCCATTTGGTCTTTTGGCATTTGAGAAGGCAGTTCAGCCATTTTAAGTCAGTCCAGTTCTCTGCTGTCTACGCAAACCACCTATGGATCCAAAGAATGAGCAAAAGCAGATGGCATCCAGGAAGATGGCGTCTCTAACAGTTAGATAATTCTTGTATGAGGCTAGTGTGTACTGGCTCTAGCCTCTGCATACCTACAGAACAAACCGCCTGCCCTAGCAACATACTGCATAGAACCAGCTCTGGGTGCTCTAATAAAATCATCTTGGATTCTTTTGGTTCTATTGCACTGGAGACCTCTGACTATGCTTTCTGAATGCCCTTTGATCTTATTCATCCTCCTTTCAAGGCTGTGCCCAAGGAACAGGCTCCCCTATCTTTGTTTCTGATACATTTTGAGAACCCTATGCTAAGCAGGTTCCTTTTGCTCTAACTGGCCACAGTTTTGCCATTCAAGGTTTTGACACCAAAACTGATGAGGTCTATTATTTCCAAGATCTACAGTCTCTCACTAAATACCCCAAAGTGAAGTAACTCCCCTCTACCTAATGAGTCTTGCCAATTATTCCTGGTCACTGAGGACTTTGGATACCCTTAATCCTAGAAAGAAATGGTTCCAACACTCTTTGGAGGATTAGCAAAGAAAAGAGCAAACTTCACATTTTCAGAAAATTTACATGGATATGTAAAAATATTCTAATATACATCCAAAATATACTTTAAAAAAAAGAGAGGGGAAAAGAAGTAGTCCGTACCGGGAAAGGCTCCGCCCCCTCCTGGATCACAAACCCTTCGATAACATGCGTCAGGATTTGGGGTTTCACAATGGCCTGTGGTGGTTTATTCTCACCATTCTGGGGGGCAGTGCCGGTGATGCTGGAGGCAGAGTTTCCGTTCCCTGAGGTCATGCCGGGGCTGCTGAGGTCGGTCAGTGCATGAACAATGCCCTGCCCTGTCTCTGCACAGGGGAGAGTAGGAAACAAAGCAGTGGAGATCAGAACAGAGGTGAGGCCTGGAGAGAACAGCAAGAACACTATACAACAAGCAGTCCCTCTCTTGATGACCTCCTTCAAAGGTACAGTTCCAGTGGACAGACACCACACGTGAGTGCAATCAGTTGTGGAATAATAGTGCTAATCAGCTAACAATGTTTCTAAATTTCCTCCATGTGCTATGAACAAGTTAGAGACAAGAACCTTGGCTTAGAGGAGGCAAGGCCTTGAGCAATATTGATTTGGGCAAATGACGTAACATGCACTTTGGTTGTAAAATAGCATGAAGGTGACATATAAAATCAGGATGAGAAGCCCAACTATGTACAGAGCCTAAGGTATAATGGGACTGTGGAGTTAAGTGAACTTGTACAATTTTCCTTGGCGGGCTGGATTTTAAGAGCACATTGAAATGTCAAAGCACTGAACCCATAAATTAGATACCAAGGGAAATTAGGGGTCAAAATGCCAGGGAACACCATATGATCTGGATTATACAGATGGTCATTTGAGGTCACAACATTGAAATATACATTCATTCTCCTCTACCATGGAAGTTCCTAGGCAGAGCTATGACTATCTGTGCTATCTCTACTGGCCCTGTACCTTCCATCAAACCTCTTGCTTAGTGCCCAGGTTTCATACCAAAGCCAACCCTCAGCGGACCCTCCATCTCTCTGTGGACAAACTTCCTAAATAATTCTCCTTAGGCCTGCTTCCTTCCTATCCAAGATGCAGCAGTGCTCCAAGTATGACAAGGGGCCATTTCTCCTTCCCACCCAAAAGCACCTCACAGGAGGTGCCTCATTGCCTTAGAGGTACAAGGTCTCCTTGCCTCACTTTCATTAACTCTCCCCACTTGCCTTCCAGGGCTGTTTATTACCACCACCAAGCACCCAGAGAGTGAAATTACTACAAGCTTGGAGTTCTTTAAAAAGAGAAAGTTGGGCTGAGAATGTGGCTTAGTGGTAAAGTACTTGCCTAGCATACACAAATCCCTGGGTTCAATTCCTCAGCACCACATACACAGAAAAAGCTACAAGTGGTGCTGTGGCTCAAGTGGTAGAGTACTAGCCTTGAGCAAAAAGAAGCATTAGGGACAGTGCTCAGGCCCTGAGTCCAAGTCCCAGGACTAGCTCCCCTCCCCCCAAAAAAAGTAAAAAGAAAAAGCCATTTCTTTATTGCAACCAGCCTATTAATATTAAACATAACCCAGTGGTGGTGTATGACAGTGTAAAAATGATTTCAGTGTATATGTTATTTAAGTAATGTTTCAACAAAATTTTTTATGAAGATGTTCTTCTTACTTCATAGTTAGGCATCCAAAATACCAAAGGGCTGGACACTGGTGACTCACGCCTATAATTCTAGCTACTTGGAAGGCTGAGAATGGAAGGATTGCAGTTTGAGGCCAGTCCTGGCAGAACAACTTAAGAGGCCACTTCTTGGGCTGGGAAGGTGGCTCAGCATGCTTGAGGCCCTGGGTTTGATTCCTCAGCACCACATAAGCAAAAAGAAAAAAAGCCAGAAGTGGCGCTGTGCCTCAAGTGGTAGAGTGCTAGCCTTGAGCTGAAGAGCTGAGGGACAGTGCCCAGGCCCAGAGTACAGGCCCCACGACTGGACCCCCCCCAAAAAAAGAGGCCACTTCTTTACCCATATCAGGGCACAGAAGTGTGTCTGTCATACCAAGCTACATGGGAGGCTAAGACTGGAGGATCATGGTGCCAGGATAGACTGGTCAGCAAAGTGTCCATATGGAATGCAAGACCCTATCTTAAAAATAACCTGGGTAAAACAGGGTGGGAGGGGCAGCTGATTCAGAGTTGATTCAGCCTAGCAAGCACAAGGCCCTGAGAAAACCCCCAGAACCACACACAAAATAATAAACAAGAAACCTGACAAAAACCACCACTCAAGAATTCACAGTGCCTAATTATCAGCATGATAATAAGTGGGTCACGTGGCCTGTCTTTGTTCTGTCCAATTCTTTTTTCTTTTTTCTTTTTTTTGGTGGTCCGGTCGTGGGGCCTGAACTCTGGGCTTGGGCACTGTCCCTCAGCTCTTCAGCTCAAGGCTAGCGCTCTTCCACTTGAGCCACAGCACCACTTCCGGCTTTTTTCTTATGTGGTGCTGAGGAATCGAACCCAGGGCCTCAGGCATGCAAGGCAAGCGCTCTACCACTGAGCCACCTTCCCAGCCCTGTCCAATTCATTTTTAAACTATTGATCCTGGGGATAAAAACCCAGACCAATCTTTGTTTTGAGTATGCTAGTCCAGGGGCTTTAACTCAGGGCTTGGGCGCTATCCCTGAGCTTTTGTGCTCAAGGCTGGTGCTCTACCATTTTGAGCCACAGCACTATTTCTGGTGTTTTGGTAGTTAATTGGAGATAAGAGTCTAACAGATTTTCCTGCCTGGGCTGCTCTGAACTGCAATCCTCAGATCTTAGCCTTCTAAGTGGTTAGGATTACAAGTGCGAGCCACCAGTGCCTGCTTTGGCCTACTTTTTAAATGAGAAAGCATTGGCAACACAAGAGTCTGGAACACTCATACCTTCTGAATTCAACCACATATCAACTTCAGAGCTGAGCAGACATAACTCTGCAGGTGTGAATAAAGATGATTTGTAAAAATATTTTGACATAAAGGCACATCAGCAAGTTAGAAATTCTTAAACATCTGTATATTTATTTGAAAAAAACAAATAGCTTTGGATTTTCTGTACAATATACAAATAAGCATTCACTGGGTGCCTGTGGCTCACACCTGTAAACCTAGGCTGAGATCTGAGGATCATGGTTCAAAGCCAGCCAGGGCAGGAAAGTCCATGAGACTCTTATCTCCAATTAACCACCAGAAAACAGAAGTGGTGCTGTGACTCAAAGGGTTAGAGTACTAGCCTAGAGCTAGTTCCTAGGCCCTAAGTTTGAGCTCCATGACTGACCCTCCCATCCCCCCAAAAAATCCCTCTTTTGGACTAAATCTGTCTGAATAGCAAAGACTGAGAAAATTCTTTCTAATATATGAGTAGCCAGAAGGGTTAAGTGTCAATTAGTTTTTTTAAAAAAGTTTTTCTGTTTATAAATATGTAAAAGCCTTCATTTATATGTTTTCCTCTGCCTTTTTCTAATATTTTAAATATGCAAAGAAGCAAATGCATACTTCAAAAGTTCGCTTCACTCTTACCACTGAACATCCTTGAGTGATTTTCTAGCATTTGCTTGAATGTCTCTAGTGATGTGGGAATGAAGTACTTTGTTATTACCTTGAATAGTACAATCATTCCTTATAAGCCCCAGTCTGTCTCTGTTAATTTCATCCCATTCATTCTGTCTTAAGATCAGAAAGACTAGGGACAAAACCTGGATTAGAGATTGCTATCACAGAGAGAATTATGGATGTCCTGGTCTCTTTCCAAGCTTATCTATCTCATGGGCTGTAAAATGAGGATATTAATGCCTACCTTACTGTGTTGCTATGAGCAGCAGTGCAGGCAGTGCTAACCCTCCTAAGAAATGTTCAAGAAATGCTCCTGGAGTCAGAAATGGGGCCACTCATGACTCAACTACTTATTGAGAACTGTGCAAGTTCACTGTCATCCTAGATCTTTTTCTCTTTGCCAGTCCTGGGCTTGAACTCAGGGCCTAGACTCTGTCTGTGACCATCTTTGTGCTCAAGGATAACACTCTACCACTTAAGCCATAGCACTACTTCCAGCTTTTCTGCTTATGTGGGGTACTGAGGAATCAAACCCAGGGCTTCATGCATGCTAGGCAAGCCCAGCACTAAGCCACATTTCCAGTCCCCAGGTCTGTTTTTTACTATATTTTTTCCCCTCAAAGATGGCACTCTACCACATGAGCCATAGCTCCACTTCCAGCTTTTTGATGGCTAGCTGGGAATCAGGCTCAGGACTTGGTTGCCTTCTGAGTAATCAGGATTGCAGATGAGTCACCAGCACCTGGCTCATTTTGTTTTATTATTTATAATTTTGAGGAAAGGTGTTGCTAAATTGCCTCGTCTCACTCTTACTGACTAAACCTCTCTAGTACCTGGGTAACAGGCATATGCGAATCCCCAGTAGTTTTGTTAAAGAATCACACAGGTAGAGGAAAATGAGTAACTCTCCTGGTTTGGTGTATTAATGCCTCCAGTATTAACAGAACTAAAATGGAATACATCCTCCTCCGAATTCTAGGATCACCTTGCCTTTCACTGGCACTTATCAAGCAGTTTCTGATGATCTTGTCCCCGTTAGGTCTCTCATACCTCATGCTTCTCCCCACATCTCAGATCTGTGCCTCTTTTTTTGGGGGGGGTCCTGTCATGGGGCATGAACTCTGGGCCTGGGCACTGTCCCTCAGCTCTTCAGCTCAAGGCTAGCACCCTACCACTTGAGCTACAGAGCCACTTCTGGCTTTTTCTGCTTATGTGATGCTGAGGAATCAAACCCAGGGCCTCAGGCATGCAAGGCAAGCACTCTACCACTGAGCCACCTTCCCAGCCCAGATCTGTGCCTCTTAATGCACCCTGTAAGACAAGGGGCCTATGTGTTGAGATTGGATTCTTTCAATACGTAGGTATCGCCAGGCACCAGTGGCCCATGCTTGTAATCCTAGCTAATCAGGAGGCTGAGATCTGAGGATAGAGGTTCAAAGCCAGCCTGAGCAGGAAAGTCCATGAGATTCTTATCTCCAATTAAAACCAGAAAACCAGAAGTGGCACTGTGGCTCAAGTGGTAAAGTGCTGGCTTTGAGCTGAGGGACAGTAAACAGGCCCAGAGTTCAAGCCCTACAACCAAAAAAATGTAAAAAAAAAAAAAAAAAAAGTAGATACCAGCACTAAGGCTACAAATCCAATGTTCACCTCTGTGAAGCAAAGACTTTTTGGAATGAGTTTTAAAAAGAAAAGAATTTAAGACAGAGGACAAACTAATAAACTTTTTCCTCCTAACATTAGACGCTTCAC